CACCCTGATCTAAATACTTAGGATACTCAGCAGAGGAGTACTAATCATCACGATAACCCATTCTATCTCAGCCACTCCGAGCCTCCACAATGGCTCAGAGATAAAATGGTCATGACAGTAGGAATGGAGGTTATGTGTGGGCTCAACAAGGTAGACATGCACTCATAAGGACTAATCTGTTTATAGTCATTGTTCAGTGCCCACTCGACCAAATGGACAGATCAATACTGTACCTCCATTTGCAGCATTCCCTGGGGGAGGAGAAGGAAGCAGGTAGCCATCAGTGCCAGGTGAATTTCATTGGACCATTTCCATCAAGGAAAAGGTGGCACTTTGTTCTCTGAATACAGTTTCTAACAATATAGTTTTACCTTCTCTCCTGTGACTTTTCTGTAAATATCTTCATCTATGAAATTGCAAAATGCCTCATTTAACACCACAGCATACAGCAGAGCAGAATCTGATCAAGAAATGTATTTTACAGCAACGAAGTACATTAATGGTCTCATGTAAATATAGGTACAATGTTTCCCTCCGCAGACAGAATGGTATAGTGACCTTTTGAAGTGTTAGTTACAGCAGTAGCTGCATAACACCACCTTTCAAAGCTGAGGCAATGTCTTCCAGATGTTGGATATGCTCTCAATAACCAACAAATACATGGTGCTATTTTTCCCAGAGCCAGGATTTATAGGACTGGGATTCAAGAGTGGATCTGGGAGCGGCTGCTCCGAAATTACCCTTAGTGCCCCACTAGAGAAGTTTTTGTTTCCTCCTTGGTTTTTGACTTTGGGTTTTGCTGGTCTACAAGTCTCAGTCTTCTACTAGGGATCACAGCAATAGGTCCATTAGACCGGAAGCTGAGAGTGGTACCCTTCCATGGGAAAGGGAGTTTGTGAGAATTCATGAGTTAGTTTTAAGAGGAAAAGTTAGGTGAAAGCATTATGTTAGGTGAAAACATGTTTTGCTGTTGTCTTCATAGGAAATATGGAAAAAAATATACACTGATGTCGAGTTGACAAGGGGTAAATTACTGTGGTTTCTAAGTGTAAACTTAGTTAAGTATTAGTTCTAATTCCCATAATTAATCCTATAATTCTATACTGCTTATACGGGTCCTATTCTCTGATCTATCCCTAACACAATTAGTATGCAGAATATATAAAAAGCTTCTACAACTAAGATGAACTGAATATAGAAATGAAAAAGAAACAGAAAAGGCACACGAAAGAAAAACAAAACAAAAAGCTAACACAGGATGTTCAAACTCTTCAGTAATCAGGGAAATACAAATTAAAGCATAAACTACTACTGCACACTCATCAAAGTAGCAAATATTAACATGATTGAAAATTCTAAGAATGAGCTTGGATTATCCCAAGAGGAAGTGGTAGACATTGGTTGGTAAGAATTTGAACTAATCACTATGGGAAATAATTAGCAGTACTGATAAAGCTAAAAATGGGTATTCACTACGACCTACAAATTCTATACCTAGGAAGGACCCTAGAGAAACTTTCACATACTAAAAATGGGTAGAAACATATAATATCCTTTATCTAGAGAATAATGATAGCATTCAAATATAATATACTGGAGATTGAGGAACAACACAGTTACCTTGAAGGTAGTCATTTGGAGGTGATATCCATTGCCAACTGTGGTTGGCAACCTATACATTCCCAATGATCCCTACCCTCAGGTAATCATAGCTTTGTAGAATATCCTCCCCTTTTGTACAGCTCTGGTTTAGTGACTCACTTCTAGCGAGAAAAACTAAACTAAACTAAACAAAAAAAGAACTTCACTTCGCCCTAACTGGTTTGGCTCAGTGGATAGAGCACTGGCCTGTGGACTGAAGGGTCTCAGGTTCAATTCCAGTCCAGGCCATGTACCTTGGTTGCGGGCACATCCTCAGGAGCGGGTGTGCAGGAGGCAGCTGATCGATGTTTCTAATCAACGTGTCTCTCTATCCTTCTCCCTTCCTCTCTGCAAAAAATCAATAAAATACATATTTTAAAAAATTAGAATTAAAATACAGAACAACTATCATTCAGAATTTTCTGAAGGCTGGCTGAATGGAAGTCCTAAAATCAGAGAACTATAAAAGAAAGCACTCAGAGACTGCTAGGAGGGGCGGAGGCTTGGAACAGGCTGGCCCCA